CCCTACAATAACCACATAGACTGACATAAGCAGCTTCGTGATACAAGCATATATATACCTCACACGAATGAGGCACTGTCTTCAACATCGCTCCATGAGAGATTGTTTTGCCTTCTTCCTCTCCCCTAAGTCTTGTTTTCCATTGAACTGATCAAACTTAATAAGCTTTGTCATTAGATTCTGCTTCAGCAGAATTTGTTGAGAGATACTATTCAGCCATGTATGTTCTTTACTACTTTTTCCCCAAGCTTTTCTATTTTACATTCTAATTGAAAATAACTATGTAATGCACTGTAAAGTGTCTCTTTATATAGCATACCTCCAGCTTTCTCTGATATTTCTCACATTCCATTTGACACTGTGAAAGATTCTTTGCTGTTTCTTGTTGCATGAGTTGAACATGTTCACTTTCAAAGGACTTTAACTTACTTTGGTGAAGAAGTTCAGCTACTTTGCTTTCTGTGCCAAGCTGCATTTGTCTATACCTAAAAGAAAAAAACCCCACAACTTTTGTTCTTTCAAAAACAAACAAACTTAGAATACATGCTAGTTCTGTTCATTACAGGTATATATTTCAGAAATTAATACAGTATTTTTAAGAGTTTAATTTACGATGGTTATATACATAACTATTGTAAACAGTATTTGAAACATCATTAGGAAAATTCAATACTATAATGACAACAAAACACAGTACGTGGAAAACTCAGTCCATGGCTCTTCTGAATAAATAGTTAATGCACAATCAAGTGACAATGACCTTACAGTATACCTTATTTTTTAAAAATGTTAGATCAATGTGAATCTCTTTCTTGGTACATAAATGTATGCACTTAAGTCTTTTAATAGGAGACATACTAAGGAGATGGTGTCTCTTGTCTTTACCACGTGTTAAACGCAATAAGGAGAAGTGGTATTAGACATCAGTGATATCAATGGCGCATCCCTTGGGATATCTCTTTGGGATGCCACAGATATCAGCTATCCTGCTTTTTCCCACAGCCAAAGATAGGAAGAAACGTCAGACCATGATGGTGTATTAATTTCCACAGTAATTCAAAACCACGGATCCATCTCAAAAAGCAGAAATGAAGTCTATTTTTGAGAATATCACTACAGGTGACAGAAAAATATTATTCCAGTTAGAAGTGGACTTCATTCATTCTACTCATTACATTTAACAGGCAATCTCAAAAAAGAGAAGTAAAAAAGTCTGTTGATAGAATACTAAATTACTGGACTGTAGAAAATGAGGGTGATGTGAACAGTAGTAGAAAACCTTATGAATCTTAGCATTAAATAACATATGAAATTCAAATTAGATACATGCAAATTAAATCACAAATTGTAAAAATGATCCCAACCATATACATAAAATTATGAACTCCTAGCTGATTGTTTCCATTCACAAGTGAGATCTTGGGGTTATACTAGATGAATCCATGAAAACTTTGGCTCAGTTCTGAATAATGGCCAAAACTAACAGTTTGGGAATGACTATGAAAGCAACAGAGAAAATACAGAAATCATCACATCACTTTACAAATCCATGCTATGGCCTGCATACTGAATGCTAACTAATGTTCTAGTATCTCACCTCACAAGGAATATAAGAGAACTGGTAAAGCATCAGAGGAGGGTAATAAGGATTACCTTTGACAACCAGCAACATCATGCACTTACGCTGTTGCACTTACTTGCACTGCGAGCAAGAAATTAGTTAAGCAAGCTAGGACTCTACAGCTTGGAAAAGAGATGGTGTAAGAAGAAGGAAGAAATAAGAGGGGCCTGTAACAACGTGAGTGGCACGGAGAATAAGAATAGGAATCAACTGTATTTTCCAAATGAATAAGAAGGCAACTAATAAAGCTAGCAGATGCAGAATGAAAACAAATAGAAGTTGTTCTTCACACATGAAAGCTGTGACATTCCTTATCATAAAATGCTGTGGATGCTGTGGATGCTGAAAATTAACACTCAAGAGGATACTGAACAAACTTGCAGCACAGAAATCCTTTGACAACTATTAAATGCAAGATGGTAGTTCTCACACAGAAGTCACTTAACAAATCGTTAGAATGCCAGATAAACCTTTACTCTAGATGAGCATGGCTGTTACGTTAGCTGTCATTCATCAAATAACAGTTGCAACACAATTCCATCCTATTTAGCACCTGATCTTTAGGTGGGATTGAAAGTGTTTGACAAAAACAGGGGGATTACTTCAAATATTTTCCCTGAGGATTTCAGATGTAGGAATGTTCCTAAGGCACAAAGAGGAAGCAATTTTCACTGGAATTAACTTGAACAGAACAAACAGGTGTCACTATGATGCCCTTTATAATCACTCTGTAGACACCCGTGTATGAGCAAACAGTCCAATGCATGAATGAGATAGTTCCCACACAGGCTGTGTGAGCAAAGATTGGAAGTTCTGCCTACTGAGCTCATGAAAAGGTCACTCTTTTTAAAACAATTTTCTTTTTCAATAGTATGACATTTGTCCTGAAACAGAATTACTGCACTCAAACTGCTAAATGACAATTATCTACCTGGTTATCGACTACTGCTGTCAGTTTTGCCCGAGGATGCTTTTCAAGTGGTGATACTTTAAGTATTACATCACTGCTCACTGACTGTATGTTCCTACTTTCATTTTACCACACAAAAATAGTTTCAGCATTCTTGCATTCTCCATACTTTGTACATGATTGGCTGCAGACATTACATTAAATCTGTTCTGCTATACACTTCGTTTACAATCCTGGGAAGACTGTTTAGTTCCAAAATGAGCAAGTCTTCAAAAAGATACATATCATGCAGCCAACTGATGTGTAAAGCAACACACAAATGAAATTTATGTACAAGTCATATTTATTGACCTTCAACAACAAATTCATATCTTCTGCCTTTGCACAAAATAAATGGCAATGCCTTCCTGTACACAGCTTCAGACCTTAAATTAGTCTGAGGTGCAATGATCTGTTCTGTACAGAGCTTACACACTGGAAGCATGCATAATCATAGGCTATGCATCTTTCTCTGTATCTACTTTCTAGACTTTCCAGAGAAGTTTGTAGTTCTGTGATTATTTTGTAAGTCTACGTAATCAGCTGCGTGCTTCCAGAGCGTGCATATCAACCTAATAATGAACAGTAACTTCAGAAAAAAATTTTGTCCTTTGTTTTGGAAATTTGAAGTAGCTTACATGTGCGTGATCTGTTTTGTACGGGTAAGGTTATGAAGGGTCAGTTTTCTTTTGACCTTATACACTGTTGAGCTCACTAGTAACTCCTCCACTGTAGCACCATTCAGAGTTTCTTTGTCATATTTGCTTTTACTTGGCCAGATAGTGTATCTGGTTTCTTGGCTCCTATTTCAGCACAAGTGTATGTGCATGTGTGTACAGAGTCATGTAACACAATGTCAAAATACATTCCTTAATCTGCCTAGATGGTCTCTAAGGGAAAACAAAAGAAAACAAAACCACCCTATGCTTTTATACTACTATTATGGAGAAAAAAAAAAAAACAGTGGAATGCGGGTGTGCAGGATTTCTCTCCATCAAGAGATTTTAGCAAACTTGATACAGTGACAGAGTAGAGGTTTTTGTCTTACAGAAGAATGAGGGTTGGGAATGAACAGGAAATTACAGCTTGAGCTAATGAAAAAAAAAAAAAAATGGAAAAAACCCCACAAGCATAAATCATCTGGAATGAGGTCTCAACTTCATTATGTCTCTGTGCCATTAGGATGACCAGTCAATAATGCCTGAAGTTTGTTAAAGCAGAGTGACACAATGGTTAGCAAAAAGGTTATTTCTAGAGTAAAGAAGAAGAGCAAATATTCAGAGACGGACTTAAACTCTGGTTTGTAAGGATGGTTTTAAGATTTTTCTGTTTTTGAAAATGGTGGATAATGATATAACTTTTCAAAATCTGCATACAACAGGAGTAAAAGGAAAGATTTCATTGTAAAATCATGCAGTCTGTATACTGAAGAAAGGACAACAGCCAACTGCTTTTTGAAATGCGAAACTACAAACCTCATCCAGCACAGCCTAATCTAATATTGATACTTAAAGATCTCTATCACATATGTGTGTAAAGTGAGATGGACCTAAGAATTCCAACTTCTTATAAGCATCCTATAAGTACTGAGATAGCAACTTTAATCTATTTTTACGTAACAGGAATAGATTCTCTTTTTTACCATTATCTATCACATTGAAAACAACAGATGCACAGCAGTACTCCTCAAAAGTGTAATTGAACAATAAAGTACATTAAAAGACACTAAGTTTGTAAAATTAAGCATTCAAGAAGCAGCAAATCCAGTAAGAAAGAATGCAAAGCAAGAAAACACAAATGATACATCTTCCAAAGGAAGTCCTACCAAAATTAAACAAAGCACCAACCCTTTCCAATTTTGCAAACTTGATTATGCCAACCTAAAGCTCTTTAGGATATATTTTAGAAACTATTTTCAAGTTTAAAAGTGGAAGAAACCCTGTAGGTTGTGAAATCATCCTGACTCCACAGGTGGGTCAGTTCTAGGTCAGTTCCAGGTCTAAGATCTTTAGAGTAATATACAGTATTTGTACAAATGTCTGTGATTTGGTTCAGTGCCAAATTTGCAGAGAAACCTAAATGCTACAGATGATTTCTCCCTAACCTGTCCTATTGCAAACCTCCCACTTCCAGTCCCAACATGTCCTCTAATGTTCCTCCCATCCTCCCTCTCTGTCCCAGTACCAGCCCAGATTTCTCCTGATTTCCAATTCTATTTTAATTCTTTCTACTCAGGGCATCTATTCTCACTTATGTTCCTACCCTGTTCAGCTTCCACCCCTATCTTATAGCCCTACCCTCCAACTGCTGTTTTCCTCTCTATTCCTATATCACCCTCAGAGTTTGGCAACCTTCATCAGATCCTACCCATACTTCTTTCAATATGAGGTTCAAATCCCAGTTTAACTTCCTCACCTTTTGCAACTGAGTCTGGTCATTAAGGCATCCTCACTTCCAAAGAGACCAAAACCAAGTATAAAAGTACAGAACAGAATTTTCCTTACTCTTCATTGTGCCACTTGGAGTCACAGAAGCAGTCTAGATAGGTCTAAATTAAATTCAGTCATGTTAACAGACTGCACATACACTGTCCATACGTGTGGCAAACTGTGAGACTCCAGTTCAAACACGGGCACTCAAAGGATCTTGTTTTCACTGGTCGTCTTTTTGATCCTTGGTACTAAAAACCGGTTGGTTTGTTTCTGAGCAATCAAAAATTTCCCACGAATTCAGTTCACACACTACCCACTAAGTAACTGAAAATGTAGGAACTATGATCCTTAGTTTCAAATGCTTTAATTGCTCACCTTCTGAGGCACTGAACTAAGTCTGATGCATCAACTATCTGTCTGGTTTCATAAACTGAAAGTCTGTTTTAATATTTACTACAAGATGGGTAAGAAAACTGTCATTCT